AGATCTTGTTGGACTTTATTTCCTGGGCAATGATTGTGGCTGTTTTGAGAAAAGATCATTTCGCATGCTAAATTTATTTTCTTTTTGCCAGACAACCTTAAAGATGCCATTATTGACTTTCAAAGAAGGCTGTTGGCACCTAATTTGACATTAAGAATTCTGATGATTTCCAGTGATTAAAAAAAAACTCAACTAATTAGTTTATTTTAGACCATCAACAGAAGAAAATCTGTTTATCTTATTCGACTTGTAACGATTCTGCCCTCAATATTATTGCAGGTTGGTGGTATGGTGTTGTTGGTCACCAGGAATCATGTGATGGGAATGAGAATTACTGCCATTGTCATGGTAGTGGTGAGTTGATTTCATCTTTTCTTCCTTGCAAGTAGTACTTTATTCTTGAAAATAATTTTTGGGGGAATCTAACAACTAATTGTGGCTGGAAATTTTGCTCTGGTCGCAACCTCTCCATTATATCACTCTTATCTAACCTAAAATGACATTTGATTTTTCTTCTGATTTTATGTGCAAGGAAAGAAAAGACGGAAACCTGCTTTTATTCTTTCCACTTGATAATTGTGGATGATATGAATGAAAGTTTTAGGCAATATCTTTTTTCATGAATCCCCATTTTTTTCCAATACATGGACCAGTTGTTTATGTAGTTTGGTTGGTCCTCGAGACAATTCCCTGTCATTATGTCATAATTTATGCCAACATCGTGATAGCTTGTGTCTCTCTCACCGGAATATTTATGGCCAACCACACTGAAAAAACCCCATGTTTCCTGTAAGAAACTGTTTTTTGCTAATTTGGAATCTTTCTTGGCTATGTGGGGCCTTCAAAATTCTTTCATTTTTTGTTTTCTTCATGACCACATTAGAGCTGAAATGCGCCCAGCCCCACTACGCAAGTTACATCAGTAGACACTTTCTATCCTTTCTTTATCTCAATAAAAAGAAAGAAAGGTCTCACTTTTAATCTTTCCTTGCCTTTGCAACTAGGAAAAGCACAGAATCATTATTTCTTTAGTGCTGTGAGATTTTGTTTGGCCTAGTTGGAGCTTTTTGTAGAAGTACTGTGAGAAAACACTCCTTAGCTTGGTTGGAGAAGCTGTTCTAAAAGCCTAGACTGAATGGACAGTACATAGATGTATACCTTAAAGCCAGATTTTTTTTTTTTTAATTGTAAAATGGGTTTGTTTTGTTGTTTGGGTTATTGGATGAGTTTCTGACATGCAAGCAATACTGACAGACACAGTGGTGTTAGAGTTCCATCAGTACACCCCTGGCTCAAGGTGGAGACAAACCAGAGTCAACAGGAAAGATCACCGAGAACAGGGGAACGAGGCAGATGGATTTTATGGGGGAATCCGGAAACTTAAAACCGAGGAGGAGATTTCAACTTGGAAGCAGCTATGGCCAACTGAAGTCTTAGAATAGAATCATATAATATTTCAGGTGAAAGA